ATTACTTCCTTTCAAATGCGCAAAAATTTTCACATGCGGTAAAACATTAAAGCTTTAATTAGATGACTTATAATTATTTCCTTTCAAATGCATATGAAACAGATAAAATAAACAGAACCAAAAAACTTTTAAAAAAAATCGAATTTTATTCGAATCATGATGTTTCAAATATAAAATAAGGACTATGTAAAAATCGAGCTCAACGAAAACTGCACATTACTCAAAATTTAACCAGTTTACATGAAAGCAGAACCAAAATTGAGAACTTCACAGGCAGTCAGAAAAGATAGCAGTTCAAGGGTTGACCACCGCCACCTTGTCACAGAGTTACTCTGATATTCTTATCAAGCCATAGCCGGGGGAGGTTTAACCGCCAATCAGTTAAATTGGGTAGTTGGTTGAAACTAAATTGAAACTATTTAATTTTCTTTAAAACACAAACTAATTGCAAACAAAATACTGTGCAACCAGAAACCAGTACCGAGTTCAACGACTACTTTTTGCATTTATTTGGGACGTTTACCCAATCAACGTTGCCTAATCCTCAAAACTAACTAATTTTAACAATTGGTTGATTAGTATCTAAATCATTTGCATTCACTCATTTTTAACAAAAGCTGACTTAAAAATTGTAATTCGTATTGTTTGAACGCGGAAAAAAAGCATTTTTGTCTTGATGGCTATATTTTGTCTTGACCCTTAAAAAAACCAACTGGCGAACGGCCTCACTAAATGGCAATGTAAATCACTTCAGAAATTGCAGAGCAGTGAGTAATTTGAACGAACTGCAAGAATTTACCTTAAAAACTGATCATGCTCATTTACCGAGCCACAAACACTAATAACACTTCCCGAACGATTGTCTTCAACGCCCACATTGACTTGCCTCAATATGTAGTGTCGTCAAGACCGAGTTATTCAACATCTCTTTGAAGTATCAACCGAATCACCCAGCTAGCTTTGTAAACAATTTCAAAAACCAGAAAAATTGAGAGCGTCGACGAAATTTCTGAACCTCACAAAATTGCACACAGCGGTGATGCGCCCTTAGATTTCAGTTCTGGTAAATCAGACAACCGAACTCTGGTGTTTGCAACATTACCTTCTCTGGATTCGCTATGTCAGTCTGAAATCTGTCATTGCGACGGGACGTTTTTAGTAGCACCAGATGTCTACCACATTTATACAATACATGATGTGATCGAATACACACTCATACCCTTGATGTACGACTTACTGCCCAACAAGACTCGAGTAAAAAACATAGAAAAGTTTCGGCTGCTTAAAGCATTTCTGAAAAAAGTAGTCCTTGATTTCGAAGCCCTAATTTCAACGTCATTAAGAATATGCAGCACGATCTATAAAATCAATTTTGCTTTTTCCATTTGGACCAGGCAATATACAAAAAAGTTGGACTTAGGCGCAAAAACAAAAACAATTTTGAGTTTCGTCTAAACACCAAAAAGTTTTAATTTTGGCATGGAATTCGTTCTTGTTGACGATGCAACGTACGCGTTTGAAAAGCAGCGAAAAGAGGATCGTTTAAAACCATTTCAGAGTCTACCGGACTACTTTGAAGACAACTATATTGAGCTTGTCCTGGAAACAAACTGGTCCTACCAAAGTTTGATATTGCCGATTGGAACTTTTCTAATTGGTTTCTCATTGGAGAACCTCGTACAATTAATGCATTGGAGTCATCGAATGGCAGCTTCAAAGAAATCGTGTCAACAAAGCACCCTATCCTCCCCAAGCTCATCAGACTTTTCAAAGATGAGCAAAGGATTGCCAAAAAAATGTGGAGAGACTGATGGCTTTGAGGTCATTAGAAATTCAAAACCCAAAATTTCGATTGCTAAAGAAAACTTGTTTAGAACGCAAGCAATTACAATCGAGATCACATACAGAAGTTTTTAAAACATCGTAACTTTACTAATTCGTAACTTTAAAATATCCTAAAACTTTATGCATAGCAAAATTGTTACGATCTTTGAAATGTGTCATTTGATGGTTCAGATTTCATTGTTAAAGTGGTGAATGCTTTCTGACTGTAATCAAATTAGAAAGTTTTTATTTTTTCTTCTAATCTATTTCTCCTCAATCTACTTTGGTCGGATTGTTCTTGGCTGAATTATTTGTGTTTTTGGCTGAAATGTTTGTATCTGAAATTGGCTGAATTGTCTGAGGCTCAATGGTAAATGCTACACATATGCCCCACCACGATCCCCCCCACCCAATCCTCCCTAGATGCTTGCATATATCAAAGTTTAAAACTAGAATTTATGCGAATAAGTGTCTCTAAGCCCCTAAATTGTGGGTTAAAAACAATCAAAAGTTCAAAGAGAGAGAGAGAGAGAGCTTTTAGGTTTATGCCCCACACACCCTATTTAACGTACAAACTGTTTTTTTTGCGTATGGTATCACTTTGAAGTTGGCGTATTGTATCACTTTGAATCAAAATTTTCTTGCCTCGAATCTACCGGGATTGTTTTGTTTTACAAACACACTTTAGTATGACGAATAATGATTTGCTTGAAAGACCTTTGTATTGAAGAAAGTAATCTCAAATTCTTACTAGTTCCAAATTTTTGCAAATTTTTGTCGCAATTGAAATTTCTAATGATGCTGTGTTCAGAACTTCCTAATCCACTAGTAAGCATGAATGAATATTTTCCAAATTGCTGGTTAAATAATTCCAAAAAAAAACACATTGATCTTAATCACTTTTCCACCTAAAAAAAAAACGGAAAACAATACAAAAGTGAAAACGAAAAAAGATCCTACTGGTAGCCTTCTTCTTCTGAATGCCTTATAAATAATACTTAAGTACAAATTTCGATAGTTTTCGTAAACCATTTGAAAGGTTTGCCAGCAATTATTTTCTCTCATTTTGTCCCAAAAAATCTTTCCTTTTTGCCATTTTAGCATTATCAATGAATTCGAGCGATACTACAAGTATTCAATTAGGGCGTAAAATTGTCAAAGAAATATACGCATGCTTATTGTTTCGACCATTTGAAAAATGGAGGAATTTTGTATTTGGGTTTGTTCCAGTTTTTTTCTAATTTATTTCCACTCAAAATCAGGTAACACAAAAAATCATCGCAGTGGAGCGATATACCAAAATGAAGCTCTTTCAGTCGTGATTCGAACGACATTAGAAAAAACAACAGTATAAACTGGTTTAGTTTTTGTTCTTTTTTATTCAGTTTCGAGCGAATAAAGCCAGCGAGCTGGCTTACAATAGCTATTTGTGTTATTTATGCTTAACTTAAGCCCTAAAAACTTAGTTTTGGCGCAAAAAAAAACAAGATTCTTGGCTGGTTTACCGCTCTAAGTTTTGTTTTTGTTGGTTTTTCGATATGCAACAGGTGCTATTCACGTGATTACCTAATCATTGATTGCATGTGTCATGGTGAAACACTGAATAGTTCAAGTGCTGTTTAATTTCACTCTAGATTATAATCTAGAAGTTATTAAGTTACTCTATAAAATCTATAAGAGTAAAACGCTATTAAGCCTTCAAGTAAAATTCAGATCGTCAGCTAGAAATAAGAAACAAAGCTGCTTTTATCGAGTCAGTTTCCGGAAGTATTTGACTGGCATTGAGTGTCGATGAAAACACTTGGGGTTAAAAAAACTTCGTAGTTCAAAAAGAAAAAATTCTTAATTTTAAGCCCCTAAATTGTGCGCTTAAAACAATCAAAAGTTCAATGAGAAAAAGCTATTTAGCTTGAGCCTCGTACACGCTATGTAACATAAAAATATATGTTTGCTTATGGCGTCACTTGGATAATTGACAATCAGAAAATCGCTTGCCTTTTTGATTCTTGCAGTTTGATTTTCATGCCAATTTTGGTGGGAAAGAGTTACAGTTTGGATATTTTACTTGTTAACTTGATTGGGATGTTAACTTGATCCCCGTTTTCAACCGTGATTCAACTTGATCCCCGTTTGGGATGTTAACTTGATCCCCGTTTTCAATCGTGATTCAAGCTGAATGAAAATTTTTTTAAAAATTCTCCAGTTGTCATGTCATGAAAAAAAAAACGATTCGAAATACTGAAAATTGCATTTTTTTTAAATGCTTGAATTTTAGGCATTCCAGTTTTTTATAAATTGCCCCTGACGTCGTTTTTGGTTCAATTATACATGAAAAAGTGAATGAAACTGCACAGATAGTTGAAACTAATAATCCAGCTCAAATGCATTTATAGACCTAGTTTAATATTTGCTGATAATAGGAGATAATGAGCTGATAACTAATGAAATTTTTCAATCAACTGAAAATTCTCAATTATGTTTTAGACGATGCAGATAGACATGTACTTTCGCACGCTATGGCGAGACGAGCGACTCAAGTCCACGTTCGATTTCCTGGTGGCAGACAATTCCTCGAACTACTACATAGACGCACAAGAGTCGAAGCGTGAACTACCCTCTCGCCATCACGAACGACCTCTATCTAACACGTCCTCGGAGGATGATTCCGACCATAAAGTGGAACTCGATTCAGATCTGCAGAAGAAAAAAGGTGAGGGAATGGTGGTGAAAATTATCCATCTTGCTAACGAACACTTTCCCCTTGAACTATTGCAAAAGGCGGAAAATTCCTAAAAAGATTCAATTTTGATCAATTTTTGTTGCTTACCGGATGTTTGAGTTCCTTATAATTTGAATATTCATAACCAGTTACCAAGGGGGGAGAGGTTTGGGGAGGAGGTTGTTGACCAGGGGCGGATTTAGGGGGGGGGGGGGCGGACGCCCTCTCCTACAGGGATTCGACTCCCTACCAACCAAAGGGTCCCCCCTTTGTACTATTTCGAGATATCCATATTTGGTGACGGACCCTAAAAATTTTCTAAATATATATTTACTTTGACGGACCCTAAATATATATTTACTTTGAGGGGGGAGCGCGCGCCAAAAAAAATGCATTTTTTTGGTCAAAATTTTCCAAAAAGTGCCTAAAAACGCATTTTTATGTAGGCCTGTTTTTCAAGATTTTGCCTGCGGCGCAAAAAATTTCACCAAAACAGGGTTTTTTCAGTGCTTTGGGAGAGCCCGGAAAATCAATTCGGTCGACCTAAAAAAAAGATCGACGAAATTTTTTTGAAAATCCGCCCTCCCCTCGAGAAAATCCTAGATCCGCCCCTGTTGTTGACAAGATTTAATAAGTTTGGGGAGGAGGTTGCTTAGAAGATCCAAAGTTAGACCTGGTATTCAATTTACGTATAATTTCGTCAACTGCTAACTGCTTAAAGAGCACTCCCATTCCCCATTTATACATTTTTCAGACATCCTTAATTGAAGGCCCTTTTGACACGTGGTTGCCGGTGCAGGCTGTTTCAGGTCATCAAGCCAATAAAAGATCGCTTGTTAATTTTTTGGGAAATTCGTCTTCCAGGAAAAATTCAATAATTTTTTTGCCGGTTACATTTAGCATTAATTAATTTTTCTAGTTGTTGAAGTGCAGAACTTCAAAACTGTTCGCAAAAAAAATTCTTTTGAATCACCTCAAAGTTTTTTGTCTTTTTGCGGTACAAAACCACTGGTGAGATTAGTTTTCATCTATATTCGACCTCACTTTGCTTTCCAGAGGCGGAGGGACAGAAGTTGGCAGATGCGAGAGAAGAGATCCCTGAACTGGTCACTTTGGGCCAGGAGTACGCGGAGGCCATCTGGACTCCGGACATCTACTTCCCAGATGCAGTCAACATCGAGAGACCAGGAAAAGGTCATACATCGTTTCAATATAATAATTTGATCTTTGATCAGATTCCTTTGAGACTCCAAAAACCCGTTTAGGGTGGAAAATTGACTTGGTTCTGAGTTCGAAATTTCAGCCAATCAGAATAGAGCATTTTACACGCTGGGCCTAACAAATTTAGTTTGATTTGAACGCTGAGGGGGGGGGGGGTGGAGTAGATCCTAATTTGGTCTAATTTCTTTTTTGGGGGACGTAGATTATTTTTTAAACTCTTTTTATGATGACAATTAGGTGTCCTCGATCATCTATTGCATTTGTTTGAGTCAGTTTTTTCTTAGTAATGGGCTCATTTTGCAATTCAAAGCAGGCAGGAAATTTTTAAGTAGCCTCATTATTTTAAGTTGCCATATAAAAATTGAATTAGCTAGATTTCTGAAAAATTTAGGCATCGTTTGTATTTCTTACCATTTTTTTTCCTGGTCTGTCTTTCGCATCTATTATATTTCATTTGTATATCTTGAACTACCATTTACGTCGCCACTTATCTGAACTTTTAAAAACAGCTTCGTCTCTTTTAAATTTTTATTGGTTACTTAAGGACGTCAATTTTACTGTTAATGCAGTTTTCATAGAAAAGCTTTGTTTTCGTCTGCGCTGACAGCTAATTTTGATTTGGGAAGGTCATTTTACTTTTCAAATGACTCCTGACTGAGAAAAGAGCCATCGACGACTTGACTCGGTTTTGCATGAATTAAACTGGTGTTAGATTATGGCATCTAGACACTGTGCTCGAGGGTCAATTGACCTAGCGAACAAAAGCCGTCTGATTTGAATTCTTCAAATTTTTGAATTTGGTTCAAATTAGACTTTCACATCCAATGTTTTCATAACATTTCGAAAGCGTCGATGTCTTTTAAATAAAAAAATTTAATAAATTTTGGATTATCTTGAACTGGGTGCATGCATAATCGTATTAGAACTAAATTTTATTTGACTCTGAAATAAATTTTATTTGACTCTGTATTAAACTATGAAAATTGAAGAATCGTTTGTTCAGTTTACTTGTTCGATTTGAGAAGTTCAAATGCTTTGATCGCTTGCAGGGCTTTGATTTTGATTAAACTCTATTTGTTTATACAAATAAGTAGAAATCTAAGACAGCTTGGTGTCAAAACATAAGTGAAGGGAGAAAATATTTAGGTGAGAAAACACCCATCTATGTAATTCAATTTTCAAGATCTCCAAAAATGCTCAAAATAGCTTATGTAGCCAAAATGGTCTGACCATTCTGCTGAAAATTTGCTGAAAATAGCTTATGTTGCCAATTTTGAAAACTTTTGACATATGGGCGTCAAAAACCTGAAGAGGTGTATGTCTAATACCTAGATTCTTGAATTAAACCCTTCATTGTGAGGATAGCTGCTTGCTGTGCAAGTAGCACATAATGTCACGACCTCATATATCTTAACAAAAAATTTTTTAAAAAAATCTTGTTTTTGTGTAGTGTGTGTGTATGGGGGGGGGGGGGTTGAAAATATAATGGGACTGAAACAAAGCTAGCCTTAAAACCAATTTTCAGACCAACGTTGATCTAAATTGGTGTCTATAGCCAAAAATTCAGACAAATAGTCTCGACACAAAGATAACTTACTTGATTTTTCAAAACCAAAATCACAAGTAATGGGGGTAGTCAAAATTGAGTAAAAACCACACCCAGCAGAAAGTTCCTTCCCACTTCGCGAAATGGTGGGAACAATAAAATTTTATTACTCCTGTTAAGACTTTGTCTCTGTGGTAATAAATGAATAAAAAGAGCATAAAGAGATGATTTTTCCTCCAAATCGCCAAATCGCGAAAAAATCATAACAGCTGAACTGAGTATATGAAAACAAGACTGTGCGTATCACGGCAAAACCCTGAATGATTTGATTTTTTTTCCGCAGCCCCGTGAACTTAGTGAAAAAGATAGCAGGCGAAACACCTTTTACATTTGAATTTGGGTTGAGGTGATATCTTCTCAGTATGTAAGTTTTAACATTTGAGATCAATTATTTTGTTAGCCCAAATCTTCCCAAGTAGACAAAACACGATAAACAGCAGAATAAATTATGTTTCCGCTCTCCAAAAATTTTAACATTAAAAATATTGTTGTTACTGTATTAGGAGACTATTTAGAAAACAATGTTTAGCTCAAATTTGCTGTATTTATAAGGATTTCTTTTTAAATAATAGTTTAATATCAATTAGTAAATGTTTAATGAAAGTGCTTATAATACTTTTTGAGCTTCAAACCTCCTAATCTCCCTAAACAAAGTTTCAGATACAAAATACAAACAAGACAGCTCGTAACAGAGCGAAGCCCTGAATGTTCCGACTGCCTTTTAAGGTTTATGGAGCAGCAGTAATAACCTAAAAAAAATTAAATGAAATAAAACAAAATGAAATTTTTTTTTCTAAAATTTGAATTTTTTTTTGAAAATCATCCCCCCACACGCCATATAAAGTACAAAGGGATAGTTTTTGCTCCTAGTAACAAATCAATTAGGGCAAATAAGCTTCGTTCAACCAATTTAGAACGATTTATAAGACGGATTAAATCTCCGCTTACGCGTTAATAGTGCGAATTATATCGCGCGTTAATTGTCCCAAATTGGTCAAAATGGCCAAAATGGCAATCTTTAAACCCTCATAATTTTACGAAAAATGATCACAGGTGAAATATCTTTTCAAATTTAAGCTCAGGATAACAATACCTTTTGAATGATATAAAAAAATTCAGTCAAAAATGGCTAGTTGAAAAGTCGAAATTTGTCTGAAGAAAAAAAAAACCCACCCCGAGCACAAATATTCCGTTACTTTTGTATCGAAAGTCGGAACAAACACCCAAGAATTGTATAACTCACATTCACGCCTGTAACCATAAAGTTGATTTACAAAGAGAATTTTTAGCTTAGTTTCAAATCTAATATGTTACTGAAATAGGGACAGCAGTTTTTTCAAGAACTTTCAAAAACTTCAAAAACCGCTATTTATAACAAAATGCAGACTGCGGCCTAGAAAACATGATACTTCTGAAAATAAAGTCTTTCTTTGAAAATGGGTTTTCCTAGAATTTCAACAAATTTCAAATGACTGGCCTCAAAACCAGCCATTTATAATTCGTCGAAATTCCAGAAAGACCCACATTCAACGAAAGAAAAAACAACCAAATATTTATATTGCGCGAGCCTTGATAACGACAAATCCTCGTTTTGATGTTTTTAAGGAGTCAAGTCTTTATTTCATTTTAAGGCAACCAGTTTTGCTAGAAAAGAGCACCAGACATATTTCCAATTTTTTATTGTTCCGACTTTCGATACGAAAGTGACGGAATATTTGTGCTCGGGTGGGTTTTTTTTTCTTCAGACAAATTTCGACTTTTTAACTAGCGATTTTTGACGGAATTTTCTATATCATTCAAAAGGTATTGTTGTCCTGAGCTCAAATTTGAAAAGATATTTCACCTGTGATTATTTTTCGTAAAGTTATGAGGGTTTAAAGATTGCCATTTTGGCCATTTTGACCAATTTGGGACAATTAACGCGCGATATAATTCGCGCTATTAACGCGTAAGCGGAGTTTTAATCCGTCTTATAAATCGTTTCAAATTGGTTGAACGAAGCTTATTTGCCATAATTGATTTGTTACAAGGAAGGAAATTTCTCTTTTTGTACTTTATATGGCGTGTGGGGGGATGATTTTCATAAAAATTTTCAAATTTTAGAAAAAAAAATTTTTCATTTTATTTTATTTCATTTAATTTTTTTATGTTATTACTGCTGCTCCATAAAACTTAAAAGGCAGTCGGAACATTCAGGGCTTCGCCCTGATACGAGCAGTCTTGTTTGGGTTTGGATTTGGTTGAAAGTTGCTTCATACGAAGGCTGCACGTTTACACTGATGAGGTAATAAAAGGGCGGGGTTCGTTCTGTAATACCTGACGACGGTAAAAAGATTTCAGCAGAAAAGAAGGAAAAACTGATTTAGATACCAGCGGGAAAGTGTAATTTAAATCTCTGATTGCTTTCTGGAAATCTAATTAGAACAGAGCTTAAACCACACGTTTAAAAATGATAGACCCTGTTTTCATCTGCCTTGACTTAAAGTTAATTCGATCCAGAAATATCCGCGGAATAACAAACTGCATTTACCCTTACCCTAAAGAGATTGTACAATCTGCTTATTTTACGCATACTATTTTGTATATAAATGTTTGTTGGTATTGGGTTTTCATGACATAAACAGCGACTGAACTGTGAAGATAATTCTATTGCCAAGGTCAATTTACGCTTTAAGGTTGATTAACAGAAACCTCAGAAAACCGAAATGAATTTTTTTTCTAAAAGCAACAAATTTTGTTTTCGCTTTTACGCTGAGAACTAAAATTAAACAAAAATTTCCTCTCCACAATAAAAGCCCTCATGATTATATATCACTCGGATGAAAAATGATACATATATTTTGTAGGAAATCCTATTTTATTAGACGTTTTGATGACAATTATTTTATGCTCTTTTGTGGATGTTTGAACCATCGGATAATTTCACTAGACTATCTATTTATATTTAACACAGCAGACGGATTAGGATTGCAACATTCTCTTGAGAAACGAGCGCCAAGAGAGCTTACTTGATTCTGGTTTAAGACTGGCCATATCATAAAACTTAACAGTGACATATGGGGCATGTTGTTTTTTAAGGAAAAGCACAGTTAGTTGTGGCATTTGAGATCTCGATTACATGCAGATTATCATCGAAAAGAAAACAAAATGACATAAAAAGATTCACATTTTTATTGATATTTATGTCAACTGAAATTCACGGTCTGCTTAAGCACCAACGAATTTCAGTTATTTGCCTATCGCTGCCAAGTGAACATGTGTTTTTACTGGTTGTTTTTCTGACAATTTTTTTCTAAAGTTTCAGTGTCTCATCGGCCACTGAATCCACGCATGGATAATGACAAAATTATTAGCTTCAGTGTCAAGT